GTCGGATGCTGCACGGGGTGGGTGGGTTAGTCGTGCGGGGGCCGGGCACGGCCTGGGGCGCGCAATGTGTTGCGACGGGCAGAGATGCGGGGCTGGCGCTTGGCTGCTGGGGCGTCCCGGCTGCTGACAGGTGTTGCATGGCTGCGCTCGGAGACATGTTTCCAAGGTACGCTATCTGGCTGTAAGTCGTCCTTTGGGAAGCCTGCTGCTGCACAGGGAATTGGCTCGCAGCCTGCGCATGCCCATGACAGCAGGGCCGCAGCCCCTGCATGCGGCTGTGGCCGCGTGCACACCTTAGTCGGCATGACCGGCCGCTGCGGCTGCTTCGTGGCATACAGGCGCCATGCTGGAGCCCGGGTCGCGTTGCTGCAGCTGCGGTGGGGCCAATGGGAGCAGCGCATGCGTTGCTGGTCGGCGCCGGAAGAGAGGGCGGCGCAGCGCGGCGCCAACGCTGCTGGCCGCTGCTTCGGCACGCCAGCAGCGACTGTGGTTCCACACCTTGCGGGGTGTGGTCCGCGCGCCGTGAAGGCCATTCCGCGCCCTAGGCTCTGCATCTGCTGGTAATGAACGACGACCACTCCCACTGAACGACAGAGAGACCGCTGTCCTGGTGCAAGCCTCCGTGATTTGCAATGAAAATTTGAGTCACACAATTTACGTTTCCCGTGATCCGCTGGACGAGACGATAGACGAAGCGAGCAGCGCTGCACCCAGGTGGCGGGTGAGTGTCCCGTGTGATGATTTTCAAGCAAGCGCGGTTCCCGTTTTTGTAAAGGAGGTAACAAGTGTAATCTATCTGCCGACATTCACGCAGCTGCTGCGATCATGCGCCAGGAATTGCGATGAGGGCCCTCGCAAGCGCCCGTCTGTCCGAGTGTCGGGAGTTAGTGGTGTCGGTGCAAGTCAAAGCATGCAATCCCCGGCAGGTATGGCAAACCAGTGTCGCATAGGTGCAACGTCAAGTGACAGGACTGCAGAGCCTCCGCGGCACCACAGCAGCGGAGTCAAAGTGCAGCATGCTGTGATATTTCCGAGCTGACCGCGACAGGCACTCAAACGAGCGAGCGAAGCAGCCGTGTTACTGGGGCCACCACGCACGCAGCTGCTGCACCCTGCCTGTGCATCCACCATCCAGGCACGACCGCACACAATGGCAAAGGTTGGGCGCCTCTGATGGCCGACATCCCCCGCACTGACAGGAGTGCGGACATGTTCTGCACACGCAAGAGTACTACCCGGGAGCGGCTCGCGGCGAGAGCTTGAAGCGGCCCTTGATTAGGGCGGAATGTGTTTGCAACTTGCGCGCATGGTTTTCTGTGTGCGCGTGCACCCAAAGATCCGCGCCTGTGTGCTGACCCTGTGCTTTCCTTTTTCCATCACAGAATGGTCGCCAGGCCATTGTCGACCAAAGCAGCCATCTATCCAGCGTCTGATGCAAGGGCATGGGGTTTGATGAAACCTGAAGATGGGTGGGTGCCAAAGGTGGCCCTGCATCTAGGTATGCTGCTGCAAGTGCGGCGTGGCTTGCTTGGCAAGGTGACCAACCCCCCAGCAGCTGCGCCTGGTCACGCCAACGACGCATGTGCATGCACAGGCCATCTGGTCGGGCGCAAACGCTTGAAGTACAGCGTGCGACCTCGTGTTTCGCTGTTTATGTAGCGTTCGTCCTCGGGCGAGATTCCAGTTGGACGATCTCGTCGTGCACCCCTGGCTGAGGCGCGCATATAGGCTACAAAGCACCAAAGCCGTCATTGGTATTTGCCGCAGCTCCAGCCAGCTCCACAGGCTTTGCATTGCTGCTCAACGCCGCTCCGCCAGAGGCAGCGAGCGCGCTCTTCGTGGTTCGACGACCAGCCCCGCGCCGGCACCGGCAGCGAAGCACGCAAAGGCGCGGCGCTTGGGCGCAGCAGCAGCAGTAGCAGCAGTAGCGCCATGGCGGCCAACCCCGCGCTGGTGCAGACGGGGGCCGGCGAGATGATGCCGGCGCCGTTCCCCAACGAGGCCTTCATCCTGCGGCGCCCCGGCTGCGGCTTCGAGATCGATAGCGTGCGCACACGCAGCGGCAAGTGAGCACAGGGGGCATTCTTGGGCACACGCAGCGGCAAGTGAGCATGCCGGGCATTCGCAGCATGCACACAAACGCCCGGCCGGCGCCCCGCGCCGGCTGTGCACTGATCGCGGGAGGCGACGCGCTACCAGCCCCCCTTCAACCCGTGCTGGTCGGAATCACCTCCAACGTGTTGGTTTGTGGACTCGCTTGTGTTGGAAGCCTCTGCCCGCAACTTCTACGATGCAGTGGTGCGCGTTGCCGCACCCTCAGTTTGCGCGTCTCCACACCAGTTGCAGTGCCAACTCGCTCCTGCCGGACAGCGAGCGCGTCTCCGCACCGTCTGCTGTGCTACACCGCTCAAAATCGATCCCTTGCGGCCCCGCTCCCCTCCTCCATGCAGGTGGTCTGCCAAGGGCTGCATCTACCTCTCAAACGTCCGCCTGGTCTTCCTGGCAGACAAGCCGGACGAGTCAGGTGGGCGCAGGATCCTGGGGTTGCGTGCAGCGGGCACTGGTGGTACCCAGATGCAGCTGGGTGGGCGGCAGACAGTCTGCAGGCGCGGCGCAGGGCAAGCCTCGAGCGCCGCGCGCTCTGCTTTTCCTGTACGCATCCCATCCGAGATGCACGGAACCGACCATGCGCGCCGCCGCGTGCGCAGGGCTGGTCGGCTTCGACCTGCCCCTGACATACATCAACAACGACAAGCTCAACCAGCCGATTTTCGGGTGCAACAACCTCGCGGGCAAGTGCTGGCCTGCCGTCGAGGGCGGCGGCCCCGCGGGCACGCTCGCGCCGCACGACTGGAAGGTGGGGGACCCCAGGAGGGGGGGGGATCGCTCCGAGACCCGGCGCTGGGCGCCGCCTCATCTCGTCCACCCTGCCGGAAAGCCCAAGTTGTGGCCTGCTGCACCCCTTTGTGATTACCGGGGTCCTCATCACTCACCTGTAGCGCTCACAATGCCTGCCCCTGCACAGACGTGCGTATGCATCACAGCGCCAGGTCTGCATGCCCCACATGCACATGATGATCATACACTCACCCAAAGCAACGCGTGCTTGCACGCGTACATCACCACCCCCGCAGGTCTTGTTTAAGAGCGGCGGCATCGGTACGCTGTACCCCCTTTACTACGCTCTGGTGCAGCGCGCCAAGCGCGCAGATGCCGCCGCCAAGCAGCAGGCGCCTGGGGTGGCGCAGGAGGAGATCACAAAGATGGCGCACACGGCCTTCGTCGGTGGGCGCTCTGGCGGGCTGGGCGCGCGGCTGAGGGTGTGCGACGGGCGATCGCCCAAAGCTCTCTCCGATTGCGCGTCGGCTTTACCCAAGCAAGCAACCTTGTGCTCAGCAAGTGGGGCGTCCTGTTCAGGGGTGTCCAAGATGTGGAGATGCCGTGTCAAGCGCGCCCTCAACCGCCCTGTGCTTTGCTGTCCCCCGCAGACCCCAACGACCCGACGACGGTGTACCTCACCCAGCCTGTCGGCGATGAACAGCGGCTCAAGGAGCAGCCCAAGTGAGGACCGGGGCGGGGCTGGGCTCACCGCAGGCTGTATTCGTGCTTGGGGTGGAGAGGGCGCGTCCAGCGCACAGTCAGCGGGTTGTTTCGTGCTGTGACGAAGGACGGGGAGAGAATTTGAGCCCCCACCTGACGGCTGCACTTTCAACCACCCATGTCATCGCCGCGACGCTGACAGGTATGCGGCAAACTACGGATCCGACGAGAAATACCAGCCCATGTGAACGCTGAGTGGCGACTGCGTTGATCGACCTCACACAGTTTGGCCATGTTACTCGGTCCAGACGCTCCCAAGCATGCCGGTGCCGCGGTGCCACCGCAGCCACGTCAGTGGCTTCCATGCCAGGGCTGGAGCACCGCGCTCCTGGTTTCTGCAATCGGCAAGGAAGTCTGGCAAGGCAGTTTACGATTGATTCCATAGCAAACGCGTGCAACTGCAAGCGCTCGTGACGCATCACGTGCGCGCATGCATGGCATTGCAGTGCGCCGCAGCTGTGGTCCTTGCATGCGCAACACAAGGTTTGGGGGCAGAACTGCAGCGATTCTGGCCGTCCAGGTTGCCCTGGCTCAGCCCACAAATGCATGAACTATTGCTGGAATGGAGCAGCTGCTTGCCAATCGCCGCGCCTTGTAAACACAGAGTACGGTTTGTGGAAGATGGAAGCTGCATACAGCAGGGGCTCGGCTGATCCTTGCAACAGAGGCGGCAGCCGCTGGTGTAAAACGAAGGCAATTCAAGATTGTCATGATAATGGATCTGCACATCGACAGTTCAGCGATGCTGAGGAATCCCCTGCTGAGGAATCCTTTGAGTAGGACCGGCAAAAAGGGTGAAACATGGATAATCTGGCCTGGCCCAGCTCTTGAGCGGGCAAGGGACTTGGTGTGCTGGGCCCCGGGCGCACACCAGCGAGAGGCCCAGGCCATAGTTTGTTGTAAGGCTTCGCAGTGGGAAGAAAGCTCGCTTGACCAGAGTGCGTGACGCTGCTGTTGCACGGCGCGGGGAGAATGCGCATGCTGCCTTCACACCCCATTGGCAGCATCACACCCACCTGCGCGCGCGTGCGCGCGCGCGCGCGCACACACACACACACACACACACACACGAGCGCAAGCGACAGAGAGAGCAGAAAGCATGCTCGTTGTCAAAGGCGCTCACACATGCAAAACACAAAAGCTAGGGTGCCATGAGCCAGCAAGCGCAGAGTACTGAGCCTATTCGGCGGGACGGCTTGCACTACGGACAAAGGCGTCTGCCAACGCGCGAGTTGCAGGCAGAGGGGCAGCGGCGCATGACTGCCTTCATGGGCGGCGCCAAACTGTGCTCAAGTTCTCGCCCGTGATGCCGTGCCTGGACAGCGCCAGAGCCGGCGTACTTTGTGCAAAAGCCCAGGCAAGGCACAACCATGCACAAGGGCTATGTCAGCCTGGGGCACGGGAAAAGGCAACAACAAATGCTTTGCAGCTCGGAAGTGTGGAACATCAAAGTGTGTGCGTGTGTCCCGTGAGAACCCAGTTCGCTCTCCGGCCTGTAGGGCTGCGTGTCGCCATGCTGCGAGCCGCGCCCCAAGCAAGCCACATCAGAAAGCCGCACTCCGGGCCTGCCATCATTGACATGGCGGAGAGCGCGGTCAAAACACTGCTCCGCCACCTCTGCCCGATGTGCTCGGCCCAGTGACGCCGCGGGAGCGCCAAGAGCCCCATCCCGCACCCGCAAACAAGGGTGTGTACCACCCTGAGCTGCTGACCTGAAGTGATGTCAGAGTCAGAGCGCCTGCAGCCTTGCGCTGCACGCAGTGCCGCAGCCCCGTTGCCTCTGGTCCCGGCGGACGGCGGTTGTGCATTCGGCCACCCAACCCATAGCCCACCGCTTCCTTCGCCTCACAGTTGCATCCCCTTGGCAAAAAGGCGCTCTGGCGCTGGCTGGCAGGCCGCGATTCGCGCGCCCTGCTATTTCTGCTGCTACTGCTGCTGCTGCTGCTGCTGATGCTGCTGCTGCTGCTGCTGCTGCGGCTGCTGCTGCGGCTGCTATTGACCCTGCAACTGCTCAGTCTGCGACGAGCGCTGCGGCGAGCGCAGTCCAGGTGGTGCAACCCCTTGGGCCTGCAGGCACGGCTGCTGCAGTGGGCGGGATGATTCCTACCCCTGCTCAAGCGCAGTGCCCTGCGGCTGCTGTGGCTGTTGCTGCTGCTGCTTCTGCTGCTGCTCCTCCTCCTCCTGCTGCTGCTGCTGCTGCTGCTGCTCCTGCTGCTGCCGCTGCTGCTCAGGAATGGGCCGCTTTTTCTCCTCCTCTGCGCCGCGTTCCTGCCTGATGACTGTCAGCACGTGGCCGACCGCCTCGATGGGCGGCAGGTGCGGGTAGGACGCCACAACAAAAGCGGCAAACCGTAACAAAGGAGTGGGGCCGGTGCACATCCAAGAGGTGTTGGGTACACAAGGCGACAGCCAGCGATTTGCTTGTGCTGTCGCGCCGCTTCCTCTCTTTGAACTAAAGCCGTATATATCAGATAACTCTCACTCGCAGCACCCATCGCAAGCCATGCTGAGAGCGCTTGATGCCCACCCCACCCCGCCACGTGCGTGCACTGAGATGTGCACGGGTGCGTGCACGACCAGACGAGCCCCACGCAGCCCAAAGCCCCGCCACCGACCTGTTCTGCCGTCAGCAGTGAGTCGTAGAGGACGAGGCAGAACACGGTGTACGTCACCTGATTGAGAAACGGGTTGCATGCGCACGCGCGGGGGTGACGCGATGCGACGTAATGCGTGGATGCGGGCGTGCGTCATGCGACCGAATCTTGTTTGATTGTGTTCAAACAGCTGTACAGGTGCCGCGTTGCGCCTTTGCCGGCAAACTTGGCAAACCGCTTGCCAGGCGTGCTGTGAACCCCTGCAAACCCGCTGCGCCGCCGAAAACCCGCCACTGCGCCCCCCACATAAGGCGTCTGATGTGCCCCCAACAGTGTGAGACCCAACCTGCCCAACCCCCGGACGCCGCGTTCAAAACCCCATTCGATTGCCGTGCCCCCGCGTTCACTGCTGGCCACCCCTTCCCTGCCAACCCCTCCCCTGCATCCCACGCCCTCTCCACCTCCCCATGACCCGGTCTCCCATGATTGTGGTGCAACCGCCCCAGGCTGACGTCCGTCAACATCCTCCACCCCAGGCCTCCTCACAGCACAGCCCCAAGACGCCCTCCCTTCCCGGCCCCCCCAAGCAACCAAGTCACGCCCCTCACAATCCCTACACCTCGTGCCCCCAGCCGGCCCAGCTGCCAAGCACCCGCGCGCGTCGCGCGACCCTGTCCCCACCTCAAAACCACCGCACCCCCGAGACCCCGCATCACTCCGCGCGCGACCCACCACATCGACCACGTTGATGCCCGCCATCTCCCGCACCAGCCGCGCCTCCTCCCCCGGGCTGTGCGCGCCGGACCGCAGCGCGTCGCGGCAGCGCTCGCGGCGCGCGCGGATTGTGACCATGCGGGCCTGGCGTGCGTCCATGAGCATCAGGGCCATGTCCTCCTGGTTTGATGTTTTTTTTGGGG